ATGCAGATACGGGCATGACAAACACATCTTTGAAAAGCTTGAAGTCTGGCGATTCTAAAAATATATACTTTCCTGGGTCTATTTGTAGTCATTTAGTCACAATTAGAAGATGAAAACAAGTATGCAAATAATAGTCCCGCTACCTTAATTCATAAAGGCTAATTAAATTCATAAATTGCCAATTTTTTCAATGGTTTATCTCCTTGTCAACTTAGCACCAGGTTGCAAGGTCCAATTCATAATAGCGGTCTTAAATTTGTGGTGTACACCATTGCATGGTGAAGGTGGCTCATTTGTTGTGAAACTACGTGGACTAGACTTGTCTCCTGTTACTTGTCTGTGCAGGAACGTTGAATGGTTTAATATTTGAACATACACAATCATATAATTCAAATATAATATGGAGTGCCAAAAACCACCTTGGCAGTTCAAGTTATGCACAAAAAGGTCAAGAAAACTTGCATATTGTAGACAATACCAATGTAATAATTCAGAAATAACTTTATTGCGTAAATTCTCATAAGTATTAAGATAATACTATTATGTTATTCTCCACTTCAAAAATACTGTAATGATAAATAACAAGGCTCCAAACAAACTTTACATGAACAGAGAGGGCGCTGTTCATCAATATGCACCTGTAATCAATTCCAATCAGAAACTGAGTAATATTTACTTTAAAGACTGTCCATACAATTTTGACAACACAAGACTATTACACACCTGTGAATCAGTTGCAGTGTGCAGTATCATACGTATTTTGCAGTATATCTGCTTACTGTAAATGCATTGATTTTTCACTAGGTTTTAATTTTGCTATTTTCGCTGATAAGTAAAATTCGCTAAAAAGTAAATCTATGTGAACATGAAAAATAAATTCATTATTTCCTTAACAAATTCGTGAAATTAAAATCAGGGAATATACTCAATACATCAAAATAGTGAAATTAAATATCAGTGAAAATAAATGGTTTTACTGTACTCCTGTATCTTATAAGGGAATGGTTAATGGGATATTACCAAAATGGTGGATTTATTTCAAGTCAAAGTTTCACTAATTTTAACCAGCAGCAGTGGTAGGATCAGAAAAATGTATAATAATGCTATTATTATAGAAAATCACAAAGTATGCACTTAGTACACACTCAGATTTTAATGATGTACACTATGTGCGTACTTTGTGATATCCTCACATAACAACCATAGCATAGGGTAAAATATTGTGAAAACATTGAATAATCTTAAAAGCATCCACATTATATGCAAATTCATAAGAGGTACTTATTTGCATATTGGTGCAAGCTCCCCTAACTTGATAGAGAAAGCAATTAAGACATGTCCATCTCTCTGAAATAATGTCCCAAATTACGTAAACATACAACTGTGTGAGATGGGAATTGATTACAATGGTAATTTAACGCCAAAATAGTATTACAGACTGTTGCAATGTCCATTACATTGCATTTGAGAAAATCAATTTAAAATACAATTCAATCATTCCCTTGTTAATTCAGATAATTTTGTTTGTTGAACGCATATTGTAAAACCAAGTAGTTGTAACGAACACCATTGTACAAAACATAATGGACAGTATTGGGGTCTAACTTTAAACCACCACCTTTCCCTCTAACACACATCCATGCAGTGAGTAGAATTTATGGTGGTCAGGGGAATAAATGAAAAAGTAATCAGAAAGAATTCACACAACAATGACACTATAAACTTTAAACCCAAGATTTCTTCCACCAGACATTTTGAGAGATTTTTTTTTTCCCTGACTGAAGTAATAGTATATGACACTGCTCACATTACTCTGGGCTGTGAGACAATTGCTTATTGTATAATGAACAACTAAACAAGTTAGTGATAATATTCTCACAGAAATCATGTTCATTTTGAGACCAAAATATTTCTAAACAGTGCAAACAAACGTCTGTGTTCATATACTACAACTTAAAGCGAGACACAGAAATGGAGTTCCAAGCGACGATAACAAGACACTAAAAACGCAAAGGCTCATGAGTAGACACTTGTTTGTAAACAATGACACGCTATGGCCATCTGACGCATGCGCAGGTGACGGCTCCATCGCTTCAAATGCACAATGTAACCAAAGAGCAGCCATCAGTGTTTCACCGTACTTTCCACTTCAAAAATAGAATATGAACACTTAATAGATTTACATAACAAAGTTGAAAAGTGGTTGAGAATTAGAAAGGTTCTTGATAATGTGGGATTAATATTATGGATAGAGAGCAGAACCATTTTTTATAAAGGGTTACACAAGTTGACAATGGTGGTGAAAGGGTTTGGAAGTACGAAATCAGTTTAAAATGGTTAGAGAGTTTGCCAATTAAAATAAAAGAGAATAGAAAAGACTAGACTAGACACGCAAAATGTAGATGATCTTGGCTCTTGATGAGATGGCTAGGGATCCTCGCAATAATAGTCATCATGTTGAGGGTCATCTGATGATCCATCCTCCTCCTCCTTATTGGCTTTGTTACTCTCTGTCACAGTCTCTTGAGTTGGAGGGTTATCAGGTTCACTCGGCTTTGGGGGTTCTGGGGGTGCAGGAGAGGCTGGAGGTGGCGTGGGTGTTGGAGACGATGATCCACTCCCGCCGGCTGCAAAGAAAGAAAACAAATGTCTCTAGAGAAGTGGTTCTCAGCGCTTGTTTAAATAATACTACAGTGTGACACAAGACCTTGATTCATTGAACAAAAAATGCTACTTTTCATGAAGAATTCAAATGTTCTGAAAACTATTTGACGTGAATAGAATCCACCTTTCCATGGAGTTCCATGCACACCATTCAAACTGAATTCTGGCTAATAACATTACAGCAGCTCATCTAAGACTCATACAAGCAACCTGTATCTGTTGCCAGCCGCTAATAAATATTCAGTTAGAAAATGTTCTTTCAATATTAATATGTGCGTCTTTGATTAAATATACTCCGAATACGAGTTGGTAGTCATTTTATATCATTTGGAAAATAAAAACCACACTGCAAAGTTAATATAGTACAGAAAACAGCATGAAGACTGCTTCACATTGTCAGTCTAGCAATGGTATTCTAATGCACATCAATGACCAGGTAACATTATCAGGCAATACTGAATGAGTAATAACATTTCCATGATTTCACAATATACAAGGAGGGGATGGTGATTGATTACAACTAAGAAATTATGTGCTACAAATGACATCAAAATGAAAGCAGTTGTGACTACAACATTTTCTTATTTTCTGAATTGTCTAAAGTAGTGGCTGGAATGTACAGACTTTGAGTCTAGTTTAACGAGACTGAGGCTTTTGATAATTTAAGTATACATAATGGAACTACAACTATAAGACCAAAATATACATGAAATGAAACATACCATCTTTTGCTTTTCCTGCTAATGCATTTCTCTCCGCCTGCAAAGCTCTACATAATTTTTCTAATTTTTGAATCTTGCTGGCCTGTGAAAGCATTTCTTTATCACGTATAGTTTTCTGCAAAGAAAAATAAAATATTTATTTGTATTATTATTATTACTGCTGTACAAATTTTAATGATTGTCATAAGAAAGACTGGCATATTGGTGGTCCAATTTGAAAAAGGTGCTAATCACTCAATAACAACAGAGTGAAACTTCCATCTCTTGATGGCAAAACCGAAAACAGTGAATTCACCACATAAACCACATACTATATTTGGGACATGGTGGGACTGGGAGCACCTTCTGATCATAAAATATTAATACAATTAAATGCACTATATCAGTGGCAACCAAACACGGTTGAACACAAGCACTTGACCATGGTTTCCCAAGTTCTGACATACCTCTTCAGCCATTTTCAGTAATGATCTATTAGAATTCTCCCATCGTGTTCTCCAAGTATGAGTTTCCTTTTCTAACTTTTTAATTTTCTTGGTCATCTGAAGTGAATAAAATAAGTATCTTCGTTATTATGGTATTAACAATCATATAGTGTCATTAATGAAGTATCAAATGTCTGCTTTCTGTTATCATTTATGTTATGTCTTTAAATTCCAGTACACTAACTCAACAAGACAGGTTCATTTTTTTGTTATGACTCATATGCTATAATTCTGCTCGCTTCATTGATATAGCTTGATATGATTGAAAGAATCCAAACGTTCCATGCAACTCTTTATGGTGACAACACATGAGTTCTTTTACACATCACAGCATCTAACAACACAACACAATACACACCATAATATAGTATTATGGTTTCGACTGAATGCTGGCAGTAGTCACTGGACTATGGCTGGTATCAAAGCAAAACTTTACACAAATTCCAGCAGGGGATAAGGGATTGTGTAAACTCCAAAATCTGCTTCCCGACCGCAATATTATAGTAGTTCCTCAATTTTGGAACAAGAAAAAGGGTCCCATTTGTGATGAAAATACACACATAATTTATTGTCAACTTTTTAAATTTTCTCATCGGGATTCGCTACGCAATAATGTTAACGAAATCCCTATAGGAGTTAATTTGAAACTTTACATAGCAAAGTCATACTTACCTTCCTTCCCACCATATCCAATATTGAGTACTGAATAAAACTGAGGTATAACTTAGACGGTTAGACCATTTAGTTTCATTCTAATGCCAACCATTGGATGGTATGTGGTAAGTTAGGTATGGCCAAGCATAGTAAAATGTGCTACTCACCTTATCCATCTCATGTTTGAATTGCTGGAATACCTCGTTACTTTTAGTCAGTGTGGTCTGAAACTCCTCAAACTTTTCAGTGTAAACTTCCAACTGAATGAAAAATGAGAAAAGAAAATCATATTACAACAATGTCAAAATCCATGTAGACTCACTGTGGCGTATTTGGGACTACATTATTGCATGCGTCAGAATACATACTTTTAGTAACAAGTAGTGACGTTGGTGTAAATGAAAATTACGGAATAAACAAAAAGTTAAACTTGAAAGCTCTCTGGTTTCTTTGATGTTTTGTGTGTTCCTGAGTCAACACATCGCACTTGCATGTATATTACACACGTTACTTAGATTTTAGGCACGGCTACATAACCATCTTACCTGACTTCTGAGCTGTAATTCCTGTTCTTGTAACACTTCACATTTTCTTTGATAATCTGCTGTTTCAGTGATTAACTAAAGAAAACAAAAAAATCAACAAAAATACTCATTAAGTTAACAGCTTTAACAAGTCATTTTCAATGACATAGTCCCGGTTTGTATTATAGATGACCTAATGTGTGAAGTTTGAACTGCATTCTTCAAAACAGACAATTCTGAAATTGATCTGACAAATAAAATGAAGTACATCAAAGTCCTAATTGTGTTCAATGTATGTACCAAGTTTAAACCAAATTCATCCACACGAGACTGAGATACGATTCAAGAATAGTGAGAATGTGTGATTTTGATGCATTTTTGGCCTTAAAATGACTGCCATTTGGACATCTTGAATCAGATACTGAAACAAATACATGTGCATATGTCCGATATAACGTCTAATTTTTGAGTTTGATCGACACAAGACATGACTGGATACAGAGGGACAGACGCATGCAAGTTCAATACATATGTCCTGATTGTCGGACTTCGTCTAACTGGAGACTAACAAACAAACTTCTATAAATCTTGCCACTAGAGGGCACTGTCATGCAAGCGCCTGAGCATAGTAAAACAATGTTTAGAAGAACATTTATATCGACACAGTCAAATTTCAATGATTGTCCTCACAATTGTTTTTTCTCTGAGATTCCTATCTTTTTCTTCTGCTAACTGCATGGTACTCTGCTGTAGTTTTGCATCAGATAGCTGCAACTCCAACTCCTTGTGTTTGAACATCTTCTCTATATGCTGCAAAGAAAACACACAATATGATACCATTTAACAAACAATTTTAACTGAATGATTTGCTGAATGCCCCAAAGTCAGGGTGTGGTTTGTAGTAATAAGCACAAACAAACATGAACAGGGAAAAGATGTTGCTAGAGTCATGAATTTTGCATGGAATTTCAGAATATTGTGATGTATCACATTTTTGCTTGATTTTCAGAATGGCATGTGGGATCTAAGTGCATGAAAACTGCACTGCGTGTAAATTGGAGTCATGTGCTATAATCAAGTTGCTACATGACAATGCACCACCTCATTCACCCAACAGATTTGCAGCTGATTGTAGGTATAGTTTTGTTACAGTATCTGCCTGATTTGCAGTACTTTCATTTCATATAGAAGATATTTCACAAAGCAGTTGTGTCTCAGTGTGAACAGCAATCTGACTAACAGCAGTGTGCACTAGTCGGCCATTTTGAATACATCTATGACATGATGTATAATAAATATATAAAATTTGAACATAATCACTCAAAGCGTGTCAGAGATATGGCACTAGAATGGCCACCAGTCGCCTATTTTGAATCAAAATGACATGCGTCATGGTCCCGTAAGGTTCAGTGTATCCGGTTCCAGAATGCCAGAAATGTTTGATTTCAATGATTTTACAGCACAAAAATGGCCACCATTCGGCCATCTTGAGTCAGATCATGAAACAAATTGATGTGCATATGTATAACACTATGTAAGTTTATGTGTGAAGTTTGAATATAATCAGTCCTAGCATATAGGTCCGAATGCACACACACTGGGTCTGAACAGGGACTAAAAAAAAAAAGAGGGAAAGAAAGAGCATGGAGAAAACATTATGATCTGATCAGAAATTAAACGTGTATAAACCAACCTACCTCCTCTCTCCGCTCATACTGTTCCACCAAACCTTTTAATTTTGAAGCCAATTCAAGATTTTCTTCTTTCAACTTAATATTTTTATTATGATTCTCCTGCATTTGTGTGGTGATATCATTGATTGTTTGCTGTGAATAAAAGCAAGAATTATTTTAAAAATTAACCTCTGTTGAAATAAATGCTCAATGTTTTTGAGCCCAAAATATAACATCACAATTTAAAACAGCACAGTCTAAATTATATACTTGAATGCGCTGTTATAAGTTTCACTTAAAGACAGAGGACAGTCTGTAATGTGCACAAACCTGAAACTTTTGTGAGAGCTCTTTTCTTTTTTCCTCTTCATCCCTAGCTCTCTGTAAACTCTCATCCTAGCAACAAAATGTACATCATTATTACATCAGTATCGTTTGTAATGGTTGGTCGACCTTTCTCTTTCTATCAAAAATATGTATCCAATGAAGCCACAGTGTTTGCATTGAAAATGCAAATTAAGTATACTGTCAATTGTTCAAGATAAAACCAAGTAAATTTGGTAAGTCAATGATGATTTGGGGACATTGGTTTTAAAAAGTTCATTACTTAATAGTGGTTCATTGAATTACTTTTGTTGAACTACAACAACATAAATGATAAAAGAGGTTTTATTTTTTTTAAAAGATTGATAAGACTCAACATAAAACATCGTTAACAAGAAATAAATTCTTCAAATCTCAAATTGCAAAGTATAGCTGAGTGAGATTGATAGAATATTAATAGATCAAAGATTACTTACTTTGATAACTTTGTTATGACGTTGTAATTCACGACACAGACTTTCTAGTTTACTTTTAGCGAGGACAGCTTTACTGTGTTCACTCTGCAAGTGATCCTTTTCTCTCTGCAGTTGCTGGAATTGTTTTTGTTGTAACTTGAACTTATTGGTCAACAGACGATGCTCAGCAGTCTGGGAAATAAAAATATCCAAGTGAGTACCCAATCAATGAGACTCAAATCTAGCGAGTAAGAAGCCAATACAATTCAAATCTATTGAGTACCCAACCAATATAATTTAAATCTTGTCAATAACCAACCAATATGATTAAAATCTAGTGAATAACCAACCAACACGATTCAGATCTAGTGAGTACCCACCCTATATGATTCCAATGTAGTGAATAATCAACCAATGTGATTCAAATCTAGTGAGTAACCAACCAATATGATTCAAATCTAGTGAGTACCCAACCAATATGATTTAAATCTTGTCAATAACCAACCAATATGATTAAAATCTAGTGAATAACCAACCAACATGATTCAGATCTAGTGAGTACCCACCCTATATGATTCAAATGTAGTGAATAATCAACCAATATGATTCAAACCTAGTGAGTAACCAACCAATATGATTCAAATCTAGTGAGTAACCAGCCAATACGATTCAAATCTAGTGAGTAACCAACCAATGATTCCATGTGCATCATTTAAACAGCATACTGACAGATAGCATGGCAGGGGAATATCTCAAACTCCTGATATGCAACATATTGAGTGAGTGTTGAGACAGAGCTGGGACATTTGCTTTTTCAGTGTGTCTTAGTAAAATACATGGTTACTGGTTTCAATCTAGCAAGTAAAAAACACAGAAAACAATGTGTAGACTAGTACACACCGACATGCCTTTTTTGGTATTTGGCCACAAGTCACTCAAAAGTCACCAGAACTAAAAATTAATTAACCTGCATATGTCACCCATTATGACAAGCCTTTGTGCCCACTTTGAACCAAATAAATGATCAGTGCACAAACAGAACCCTAATATGAATCCATATTTCAGACTTTTCCAACAGAAACTAATTATATAAGGCAGTTATTGTCTTGTGATTTAATATGTCAGAAATCTTGTGGTCTCACCTATGGAATTAAGACTCACCAAATCAGCATATTTCTTGCACAGTGCAGCTATCTTCTCTTCCGGGGTGTTTAACCCATTCAATGCTTGCATCATTGTTCGACTGATGTGATCAAGCTCCTTTACTAAAGAACAGAAATAGCATCTGTTATCTATATGTACTGACATTCAGGACTCAAGAATGGCCAAATTAATAAATGACATTTACTGGAATTTCTAAGAACTGAAGAAATCGTAAAGCTCCCAATTACCTTTCTTCTTCTTGGCTTTCGTTGTCATTTCCGGTGCATCAGTCACGCCATTATTCCCACTATTCTCATCTTTGCTAGTTTCCACAGCAACCGGTTTCCCAGATTCCTTTTCTTTAGTTACTACTGCCTTCTCTTCCACTTTCTCATTTTCATTGGTTTCAGGTTTCACAATTTCTGGTTCTATCAGTTTGGTTTTTGTTTCTTCAGTTTTCTCCTTTAGTTGAGGGTTATTGTCTTTGGACACCTCCTAAAAGAAAAACAAGAATCGTAGATAGTCGACTTAAGACATCTGTTTTGAGACACCTATTTTCTAATATATAGGTTACCAGTCATGAATGAATACATTCTATAGTTAGTTATTTTCGTGGACGGAGCTACGTCATGAAACGTTCTAAGTTGCTAAGACGTGCAGCACTGTACCATGTATTTCCATGGGTTCTGAACGAGCTACTGTGAAATGCTGGTCAAAAAGCTGTTGAAAATAGTCACCACTGAGACAATTCTCAACAACCAGATTGATATACGTTGCACATGTAGGGGTAACCTTGTTACAACAGTTAGCTTGAAGTACATTTTCATGAAAGTTTTCAACCGGTTTTCAGTTGCCAGGTGACGAAAATGCCTGTTCGTTTGCTACTGAGAATATTAGTTATTTGTTTTTTTATTCTGTCACATCGACAATACTTTGACAGAAATTCCCTACTCACTTTATTTTCATCTTTGGCCACCTTGTCGCCATTGGAATTTATTTCATCTCTAGTAGACACATCATCAGTAGCCTTGTCTCCACCAGTTTTGGTATCTTCCTTATTAGGCTGCTCCTGACTTTGTTTCACCACATCGGATTCCACTGCACCGTTTGTTGGCTTACCCTCAACGATAACACTGGTAGATGAAACTTGCTCTTCCTGGATAAAAAAAAACAGACACTATCTGATGAAGGCAATGTGACCTTTTCAATGGATAGGGAGACAGAGAGGTTACATTTCACAATGTGATTTTATATGATTGTACCTTATTTTCATACAAAGATCTTGCTATGCTAAATATATTTTGTAGTTCCAAGCAATTCAAATTTAGGGAAGGCTAGATTAAATTTTGTTTCCATTCATTAGACATACAATTTTATCTGTCTTGGTGATTAGTTAACAAAATCCTGTTTGATGATGTTTACTGTACAGTAAAGTCCTCCCAATTTGACAAAAATTATGAATCAAAGTTAGTTCCAATCAAGTCTTACTGAAGTCTTGTGTGATTCTGCATCCTTTACTCATAGTTGATTATCAGAAGCACAAATAATCTTTTTATTTTGACCTTGCCACTGCTTCGGAAAAAATAAACTGTTTTTGATCATAATGTAACTAGTCACTAGAATTATTCTGTTGTAATATCTATAATGAACTGCTATATGAATTATTTGCAAGTCACCACAAAGACATTATACATATTTGCAGGAAAAGTTTTGGCAAGGCTTCAATATGACTCCCAAATATCTAAGAAATAATGTTCATCAGGGTTTGTGCTAGTGTCTCGGCAAGACAAGTCCCACTAAAAAAATTTTAAGATATTTGACCCTGGATAACAATATAGATTGAAAACCCAGATTGCTTGAAAAACTGGGTCCCTCTGGGAAGCAAAATATGGGGTTAACGCAATCCCTGTATCATACATGTACAGGGGTCTACTAAAAAATCTGTTAACAATAAAATTTGAATCCATAACATGCTTCCACAATTCAAATTTAGAAAAAAACCTAGCTAGAGAACACTCAACTGTGACAAATACTGAAAACATCAACACATACACATAGCTGTGTAGAGCTAATCACTACCAACACACAATTGATATACATGCACAAGGCACCAGCTTCGTTACAAGTCCTTAATTTCAAGTCTAAAATTTCTACCAGGTGTATTAAATTCAAAATGCCTACTACGGTATAAAATTATGAAGGAAATATCCGCTACACATATTTTCAAGGGTACACAACCAGAAGGGTGGGGCATCAAAGGTATTATTTTTTACTATTCACTTAATTAAGCATTCTGTAAAACTCTGTGATGGCATGCTCTAAGTAGAAACAAGGTATAATGTTTACACAATATATATGTATAGCACTATATATTGTAATACCCAGCAAAACGACAGTGCCAAACAGCAACTAGAAAACAAACCCACCATGCATGGTTATGGTTAGGTATTATACACTGGTAAATCTAAGTATCATAAAGAGTGACAAAAATGTTTCTGGTCAAGTTTTTTTCAAATTTTTTCAAAAACGATGTGGTTAGGTGATTTTCTTTTTGCTAAAATATGATAGCACACAAATTTTGCAGGGTTAATCTATTCGTCAACAGAGGGCGCTGTGCAGTGACCAGAAACATTAATGTTAGGCTTTAACTGAAAATGATTGAAAATAAAGGACATGAGACGTACTACATTGTGACTGGCATCATCAGTCATTTCCACTACAAGCGGAGTATGATTACAGACTGAGTTAATCTCCACAGACACCTGAACATTAATAATGATAATAATAATAAAGAAAAATAAAATCATATATGCATGAATAGTATAAAAGCACCGGCAGCTGTTATTGGCATGACAAGTCTGCATTACCCTGATAAAGCATGTATAGTAGTAGCACAATAGAAACACATTCACATGTTGTCAACTCGTACAAATGATGAGTTAGCGCATCAGAGTATGTAATAATGTGATGACATATACATTGTAAGCGTACAAATCTAAAGTGACCTTTGTAACAGCTGACTACATATACTGCATGGTATCGCATCCAGGGCTAGAGATGAAAAACAAAAAAGTGTGACTGGAAGCATTAGTTTACTGTAGAATAATTTATTTTAGCTGGAATTAATTTTTGCTGAAAAGACAGTTTCGGGGTTGTGTTTGTAATTTATTTTCACAGATTTTTAACGAGTTGAATGTAAAATACAGGATGAAGGTATATTCGCTGGATTTTATTTTCACCAAAGCTTCCCCCTTCAGTGAAAAAAACGAAAATAAATTCCAAGCGAAAATAAAGTATTTTACAGCACATTACTAAATCCAGGCTTCCTCAAGCCCTTCACAAGTCGCCAATGATAATGTGCATTTAGATCATTAACAATAAATTATGCCACTTTCATCATCAATGGCTAAGACTAATAGTAAACCAAAAATTATTTAACAAAAATGGTCATCATGAAAAACATGTCATGACCCCCACATTGGTAAATTAGACATCAGAAAAGCATTGCTTAATTAAGTTTGTGTTACAGTAGCATATTTTAATCTGCTACAGAAGTCTGCCAAATTTTGATTATTTTTATAACGCAAGGAAGTGAAGACTCGAATGGCAGCACGGAATGTCTTTCTGACAATTCAGTGACAAGTACAACATGAGATGCATGTGATATTAGTGTAAAATAAAGAGTTGGCAAGCATGTCATTTAAAATTACCATTTGTGTGTTGGTTGTTACTTGTTGAGCTGCGTAATAAGAGGCCTTTTCATATACCTAGCATAGTAGTACAGCAATGAAAAAAGAAGCAATGCAAGAGATGAAGATGCTTATAACATGACAACAGAGAGCAAATAATACTTGCTCACTGACACAAATCATGCACTTATGTGACATTATCTTTTACTGGTGATAAACAATAAATCAGATAAAGAAAATGGGTGGAGTGTGTCATCACTACTCTAGGAGAATAGATAATTTCATCTTGGTGAGGGAGAGGAGAAGGGAGGGGAAGTACAATATAAATAGATCATCCATGATCAAGAACATGAAACAAGAACAAACATGAAGGCGAGTTCACTCTAACTACGGAAAAACATTACGATACAGTTGCCAATGTGTTATTATTTCGTTTACCCTATGCGTTGGTGTATCAGTCACTCTCTGCGCTGACATTCCATATAAACGACTTTGGGATACAGCTTGCTGAATGTAAAAATGAAACAATGTGAGAGAGAAAGACAGAGTAGTGCGAAAATATGAGAAGTACGACGAATATTCACTGATGCCTTCCAAAATAATCAGTTCAAGTTCAATCCCTAATTAAACCCAACATGTGTAACCGTGCATCACATGGGATATAATCAGATACATTACAGAAGGCATATTTTATTGATAATTCAGAGTGCAGTACTTGTATAAATCAAGACAGAATATTCAACTATGACAGATACACAACATGTAGAGGGCGCTGTTTAAGAAAATCCTACCTGAGCATTAGAACTGCTGATATGAAATTCCATTTCAGGGGATTTCTGAGAAAACAATTTTGTAGAACAATTTGTAGAACTTACAAAAGTCACAATTACTCACAAGTGACAACTGTATTTATGATTACTGCAGATTATGTCCAAGGACCAAATGGTAACCTCAGAGTCAAAGATTTGAGAAAGTGGGGGTTGGGGGTGTCAAACATGAGGAAACCTGACTCAGTAAGCCAAAAGTTATTCGTTCTCAGTATATATATTTTCCTAACTGATACTCAGGGCTAACACAGAAATAAAATAATCATTCTATAAATTCAAATGGGAGGGATCAATGTTTATCCAGGAAATAACTCAGTGTGCATCTCAGATTAATCAAATGCTAAATGCTTTATATTAAATATTTATTTTGTAATATATAAGTTCATATTCGATTGTTGAACAGAGAGCTGGGGCTGGGGTGTGTGTGTATGTGAGTGTGGTGGGGAGTTGATAGTTTGGGGGAAGTACGGAATCTGTCTGAAGCTTATAGCATGTACATGTAATTCACATCAAAAGCAAAGTAGTATTACCAGCATCTAAACCTTAAGTTGCAAACTTTGTCAAGCAATATATCAAAGTTAGTTCAAGGCAGGAAAAGGCTCTATTATTCAATACAAGTCACGCACTACAATGTTAGTCAATAAGTACAATCCAAAGCAAACATCAAAGAGTCAAGGTTATACCATTAGATTTAATGTTCAACTCATTATATGTGTATTCAGTGATTCCTACACAGCAATCACCTATGTACACATAAAATGCATGCACACCTACTTTCATCTACGTTTATTAGATTTTACAACCAAAGTTAATGCATAAAGCAAGATATTAAATAAAGTTTGTGCTAACATAGATGTATCTAACCGTGTCACTGTCAACATCCATCAACAATTCGGAGATTTCAACAATGTCTGGAATGGAGGGCTCTTCAACTGGCTACAATAGACACAGTAAAATGAAGCAACAAGGTCAAAGTCGTTAATAGAGGCACCTTTTTATGTGGCAAGAGACGTGTCATTACATGTATAAGATGTTTGAATACACTATTGCTATGTACCGGTAAGATGCTACATTTTGTATGTACTGTAATTGACTTTATACACAGATCTGAACGCTTTTGTATTCTAGTTTTCTCTCTCCCAATATTGACATATCAGCAATATAAAGTAACAATGTACATGGATTCCCTGTGGTTCAGCAATTAGTGCTGGTCTTAATACCAATCTATCATAACATTTGCAATTCAATACAAGCAGTATTACCATACACATCAAAATCACACTTTTTTGGAGAGAATTACAAGCCCAGCTATTACACTAGCACCCAAAATATTAGAATTTACTGTACTGTAGGAAGACATTCAAAATATTTTGCACTAAATCCAACCTTAAAAATGTTCTTCATTTGGGTCCCTAACACTGAACACATTACAGATTTCCTTTCTGGTTACATTGGATGTTAAGTGATGAAATCCAATCCAACATAAGGCAAGCAGGAAGCTACAGATATAGATTTTTGCCTGTTATATCTCACTAAATTATTACAAGCCAGAAAAAGATGGATAATAATAAGGTTACCAAGAGAATCAAAATGTAGTACCCTATAGAATCTAGTCTCCCCCACGTGCAACTGCAAGGCCCAATGAAACAGTTGGCTGTCATGCAACTAATCACTGGCTGTCATCAAATTTTTCAACAGAAGTCAACACACGAAAAAAACTAGAGCAAACCACGTCTTCTTACATCACTAAACTGGGCTCACTTATGTCACGTCATGATGTGCAAACCCAAACAATCGAACACATAGAACAGCTGAATGCAAACATTCATTCTTAATCAGGACTGAGTGACTGATACGTGTATGTGTACATGTGATATTTTGAGATGCACACTATACATGTTTTATTTATTACCATTAACAATTCCTTTTGAAATTCCAACAGGATTTCTGAAGCTTTGCTTAGTTCAGTGTCCATCTCATCAGCAACCACTTGCTGGTTTGAGAACAAGACAGAAAAGAAGAAGAGAAAAGAATGAGACGAAAAAAAGAAAGATAGAATATGGTACAAAATGTATGACCAGAATGGTTCAATCAACGTGTGCTACATGCTACACATGCTATTAATCAGTTCAATCTCAATTGTCAAGCCTCTGCATTTGTAATTAGGTACTAAGATGTTTGCCACAATTAGTGAAATTGGGAACCCAAAAAAACAGATCTAATGACCACTACATTACCAGTGACAATTTTATTATTTTGTCAGTGTTGAAAGTATGGTAAGTTAAAGAGACAAAAGTGCATGTAGATTTAGATGTGAATAATAACTGATGTGATCTGGAACTGACATGAGCGGTGAGTGCAAACAAATAACCAATAAATCTATCATTACAAAAAAAACAAACTCTATGATCATTGCAATACTGAATATATCTATAGCCAAGCCAACATGGTTATGCTGTAAACACATTCAGACCAATTACTACATCCTAAAAAGCTGCAATGTTAAACAGCTAAAATTTTTGACCATGTCCAGGATTTAGTTAGCATCACTTATTGAGAGAATGGTATATCCAGAGACTTGTGGTTGATCCGGGATTTCACTGAAGTAGTCATTCAGTTTGTGCTGGAAGATGCTTATATACAATCAGTCATTTGGCAAATATCCACAATTAGGATGGCTATCATAAACTATACATGTTTAAAGCATAAATTTCAGCAAAGGGTAACATGTTAAGGTGAATAAACTACTGCAAATACGAGTAAGTGATTAATATGGCATAACATCAAAGCATTACAATGAAACGCTGCTTTACCAATTGTTTCTCCATGTCTAAATGAATTTCTGAAATTTGCGTTGGAGCAACGATTGTCTCTGGATACCACTACGGAAAGAAAAGTTATGAACTAAATATCATGGTGGTGTGTGTATTCTGTTTTCACACAGAGTTCAGATAGGTGTTACAAAAGCCTCCCTATATACCTTTCACAAAGACATTTGAGGCTGTAAGGTTCACATTATGTACCTGACTTATGGGTCAGCCAACCACAACAAACCCAACTTGCGAGACTGAGTGTGGTGTTGACCCTCGCGGTCATATTATTTTATATCAACCATACCTAAACAAATACTAAAATTACCGATAAAAAATCCTGAAATTCGGGATTCTATTGATTATACACAGTACTAATATCACGACTCACAAGATATGCCCTCAAGTGTTGACGAGGGGATTTCACATTTCACCACATGGTTTTCATATATGTATACTTTGGTGACTCATCATCTAAGAAATGGGAAGACACCACTCAGGCTTTTCAAATCTTACTCTTTAAGGCTAAGTGATAACTCCACTCATCTATCTCACCAAAGACCCAAAGGAACTAATTATCACTCCCAAAATCTATACCATTATGAACAATTTTAATGGCATTGCTCTCTTAATCATTCTCATTGCTGTGTTCATGAGAGACATTTTCAAATCAAAGGAAGCTTAGAAAGAACTCCCGTGTGCTTGAGAGTATTTAAGACACATTAAAAATTAATTCAAAATTACTTGTACATGAGATATTGATGGAAAAGCTGAAAACTAATTATGTAAATCAGGTAACTAATATGAACAGAACAGAACAAAAAAAAATTATGAATTATTATGCTAATTAGAGAATTAATATGAACAAATTTTAATTCAAAATTAATCAGGCCTTTATTCAAATGTGATGATCAGTAATTGAGATATCAGTGTTAATTAATTATGTTAATTAGAGATTAATAAGCATAAATATTTACCAAAAACTAATTGGGTTTCTGCATAGTTCTCTTTAAAAGTTTCATTAAAATCCAATTTGTGGTTCTTTATATATCAGTGGAACATTATGCAAATTAGGTAATTAATATCCAATTAAA